GCAAATACATTGGAGCAAAAGACAAATGAAAACTCAAGCAAAACGCAACGAGTCTTCAATATTGTGTATGATAATATTTCTCTTTTCTTTTTTTGGAAATGTATTGAATTTTTAGATGCTTAGGAATTCTGGATAAATTTTATATAAATATTGTTAGATTTTGGAGTACAATTAATAATGATTATTGAAATTGTTTGATATTGCCATCTTCTATCTTATTTTATGGTTGATTTGTGCAAATTACTATACATATAAAATTTTAAAACTTTTTTTAAAAAATTGTAAAATGACATATGACAACGTTCAAAAATGTTGCAAAAAATAAAGATATAACTATAAACATTTAGCAAAAAAGGTTGCAAAACGTTATTAGCAACGTTCAAAAAATGTTGTGAAAAAACTATTAGCAACGTTCAAAAAATGTTACTAGAAGGTTATGTTAATACTCAAAAAATGTTGTAAAAAGTTATGGCAACACTCAAAAAAGTTGCAAAAAGGTTATCGAACGTTGCAAAAAGTTTATTCGCAACGTTCAAAAAACGTTGCAAAAGGGTTATGGCAACACTCAAAAAACGTTGTCGTATCCTTCTACTCTACGACAACATTAATATTTACAACACACTCAAAAATGTTTCAAAAGATTTTTGACAACGTTTTTTGAACGTTGCAAAATATTGTTTCCGTTGTACTGAACGACCTAATATTCATTCTAATATATATATATATATATTTTCCACAATTGAACAATGGCAAAAAAAACATTGAATTGTTTCAAGCAATGAATATTTAGACACCCTTTAAATTACACTATTTAAATCTCCACTTTATTTTCAAAAATTGATCATCCCCTTTTATTAACGAATTTCATCCTTTCAGAGAGAGAAGTTGTGCAAAATGAAAGAAAAATAAACTAAGCAAATGATTAAGCACCTGATAATCCATCAATTTCTCATCATTATCTCTTTCCTCTTCACTCAACTCCTCTTCAAATGTTTAAGGTTTTGATATTTACTTGGCAATACCCTTGAGAGCAACATTGTCTTTATCAAAATAGATAAACATGGCAAGGTATAAATAGGTAAGATTGTACTCCATGTACTTCACACTATATAGGGGAAGCATTCATTTTATCTTTCAAGGTATAAATAGGAAAGATTGTAGTCCATGTAATTCACACTATATAGGGGAAGCATTCATTTTATCTTGATACAGTTTAAAAATAGATACTACAGTTTTAGGGAATGACATAAAACCCAAGGATTGTAGGATATAACCAAAATCTGTATTGAAGTAGCATATTTAATTGGAAATTAATTGCTCAAAGAAGTATTTCAAAGAAAAAGGTTCTAGTGAAGTTTCACAGAAATCAAAACTATATCCTTACATATTCGATAGCCTAAACCACACAGAGACATGTTCATATGCATTGGATCGACTCTATCCAGCATTATCTAATTTTTGATTTGTAAAGGGACAAAATAAGAAAAAAAAAAGTTTTCTGTTTTGAAAAACTAAAATTATATCACAAAATTGACCTCAATCCAATCATAAAGTGATTCAAATGACGTTATATTTCACACTTCTAATAACACAGCATGGGTGTAAAACAACTACCTGTACGGGAAGTTCATCAACAGAAAAATTGAACTCCTATCCCCACATGGGATTTCTAGAGAGGAACCACTGAATTGCAAACAATCACCAGATGAATCTTAAGGATATGCATACAAACCTTTGGATTAGTACACAATAGAGGTACATCAGATCTCAAACTGAGACATACAAATAAGGCAGACAAGAAACCAATGAATATATTTAAAATTCTACCTGACCAGCAAGAAGGTTACATAGCCCAAAATTGCTGAGCATCCAAAAATGTTGTATAGAACTGCTCTTCACAAGAACATAGTTTCAGTTTTTTTGCCAAAGAAACGGAGAAAACAACAATGACCAAAAATCTTTAAAAAAAATGAAGAATCTGAACGCTGTGCACTGAAGGAAAAAAGAGATGAAATACATACCTCTTGGATTTATCCTCTCCATCCCTTCCCCCCTCAAGCAGTAAAAAAGAAGTTGCAATTTGATGAAACATTTCACCTTATTGATCTACTCACTGCTCAAGACCACTAATTTAGGACAATATATAACACTAATCTTAAGATGATTGAGCTCAATGCTTAAAAACTGGAAAGCAGGGGAATTTCGAAAATGAGATTATACCTCTAGCAACTGGAACAAAGACTTCATGTCGACCAAACTTTGTTCTGTTTCTCGATAAACACTTCCAAGGAAGTTGAATGGAAGAGGCAACTGGAAAAGTAGCCCATTTACCATGACTTCTTGTGATTTTGTTTATCTTCATTGTGTTGAGTTTAAAAGGTCTGAGAAATAGAAAAAAGCAAAAGAAGACTTTATGTACTAATTTTATAAAAAGAGCCTTATTGCCAAGCCAAAAACATTCTCTTAATTAAAAGAAAAATAGGCACATGAAGTCGAAATTAATGAATACTCTGTTTCGGTGGCTTCTAACAGTGACAGCAACCAAGAGAATACAGGTGATCGTTGACGTTTTACATATTTATACATCAATCTTTTTTCGATTCATATCTCACATTGAACAGTGAAAACAAACCTTCTCTTTTATATATTGTAAAGGATAAAGGACATAGTAGAGGCTGACACCTTCACTGTAAGACCAAAGCATAGACAGTAATGTCCACAACAAAAAATCAAAAAGGGAAAATCATATTACTGCCTGCTAAAATACATCTTCAACAAAACAAAGTGTGGACATGTGTTAGATATAGTTACCAGCAGATGGGAGAGAAGAACTTGGGTGAAGGCTGAATTAGGAAACTGGGAATATTGTTGTAACTTACCAAAGGAACATAGACAGCACAGCACTCTGCAACGTTTGGAGATATAGGAAAGACCAAATAAAATCATTTTTTTTCTAAATAAACGATTCTCCAAAGATCTGTAATCACATTTTCAGCAGACTTTCAGGCGATACAATCTGAAATAACGAAACTCTGATAGACTTACTTACAACCCCATATGAAATTCACAGACATTGGTAAGAGTAAAAAAGTGTATGTGTGGTTAAACTTTATGAACCAGTGGCATTCACATATTTCTGTTAAAAGTATTTTTTGAAAAACACAAATACTAAGAGTACAGTTGGCAACGTCGAGCAAGGAAATAAATAATAATAAGCACAAAAACAATTATGAAAGTAATGCACTATATACACATACCAAGATAATAATTAATGCAGCGCACGAAATTACAATTTAACATCAGACTGTGGACATGTAAAATATAAAGATACCTCAAAAGAACAGAGGATGGATAAATTCACCAGGATTCCATGAGAATCAAGTTCTCAGGTCAAGGTTCAATTTAAACCATCAATTTGGAAAAGAACATAGCGACAAAATAACAAACATTCAAGCACAAAAGAACTCCCAACGAAAGCGACAATAACAACAAAAACAATAATAATAATTGTAATCATTTTTGAAGTTCGATTTAACTAACATTCTAGTTCCACCACGTGGGAAATATTACAAAATTCCAAATAAGCTGTAAATAAATCCACAATGCTGTAAAAAAACTAATAAATACTAAGTTTTAGTTAATCTGCACTACTTCAATAAAAAAAATTTGGTCATCACAATATCCGTAAGACAACTAATGAAGCACATAAAAGTCAAACAATGTATTAAAAACTAAAGGGCAGAAAAAAATTATCTGAACAATCCGTAAACTGCGATATTCAGCGAGCTACACCATAAACTTTGATATTCAAAGAGCTCCACCATAAACCACTGACCAATCGGAATATGAAATACATATACCAAATTTTTCTTAAAACTAAACATGAGATTGAACAAAGGTAAATTAGATTAAGAAAAATTGGACGGGTGGGATTTTTCCCCTCATTTCATGAGAAAATACTATTAATGATGCAAAAAAATATAAAATCTCGGCTAATACTACTTACCAAACATGCTAAGGTTGAAATTTGGAAGAACAATCAATAAATGGAAAATGTCCAAAAATGCAAATCTTTGAGCAGGATAATAGAGAAAAGGTATCGGCAGAGAGAATTTGACTCAAAGACATGCAGATCTATCAAAAAAATTATTAAATAACACAATCTGAAGAATATCAGCACCTTTGGACATGAATTGTAATGAATCCTTGCAAGACTTTCAACTGAGCAATCAAAAAACTCAGAGAGACTTTCTAGCGACTGTTCCCCTGCCTAAAACAAATAGCATGAAGTCTCTAAGAACCAACATATACCATATGCATTTTTTTGTAGATACAAAAGTGAATCTGCAAGAGAAATACCTTCGATCGCACCTCCATAGCTTCAGGAACGACTGAGTAGTAATCGAAGAAGCCTATTTAGTGTTGTGTAAAACAAATCCTTCCAAGAATCTATACAAGATGGCATGTATTGCCAAGATGAGAACTTCAAACACAGTAGCATAAATTTCCTCACTTATCAGATAAGAGCCCAAACTTTTAAGTAAAATACATCATTTTCAGCCAAAATAAAGGGATAAAGGGAACATAAAGTTATGTCAAGAATTTTATCCACTGTAAGGATGACCAAGATTGCAAATAACTTTTAAATCGAATGTGAATATATCTGCTAAAGATACTAAGTTTGTTTAGAAAGGAAACTGAAATTGAGGGAAGATTGCAAGGACCTGATCAAGTGAACCGAATTCTATATCATGACATTGCAAGATATCAACATAATCAAGCTGCAACCTTTCCAAGCTCTCATGAATGCTCTTTGTCACTCTCTCAGCACTGAAATCANCTGCAACCTTTCCAAGCTCTCATGAATGCTCTTTGTCACTCTCTCAGCACTGAAATCACCATACACAAAAAGAGAAAAAAGTCAAACACAAAAGCAACAGGGCTAAAGGAAATGGAACAACCATACACAAAAGCCCTTTTTCTTATATTCCAGAGTATTAGTGAAATAGCAAAACCTCAATTTAAACCAAAATCACAAACTAATTCAAATTGATTAATCATAAGTATATGAAATAAAGATTAAGATCTTAACCGATATTTAATTTCCAGAGCTAAATGAAAGAGAACATTACGAAAACGCAGAGGCCTGGAAACACATCCAGCGAAGCAAGCGTGCAGTTTTGCTCTTAGTAGAGGTGCCTTTACTGGCTTGTTCTTCATGGTCTGCGGTTTGTACCTCGCTGGTGCCGATGTTCCACAACAACGGCTCGATATCCGCCATTGATTTGGAACCTTAGAACTTCCACTTGAAGAGCACCATAGTTTGATATACGATGGAAGCTTCAAACCTCTGCAAATCTAATGCTCTAACACTTGTTTGTACAACATTTGAGAAAACTCGAAGGAAATCTCACATTTCTTTTCATTTCATTGAGACCCTCATTTCAATTAGCATTTCATGAATTAAATCATGTAAAAATAATTATAATATTGCATAGACATAACCACTTGCACGTAATATCCTACCTTGATTAGATCAAATGAATATTGTAAGACAAATCCAAAAATCACGTTCCGAATTTCTTCCTAACTTTCTCTGCCCCGCGTTCTCCTTGTGGGTTCTATAAATTTTTGTGATGAGTGGTGTGACATCTTGCATGTATTTATAGTTAAAAATCATTGGAGTTTGGAAATAACTGAAATAGAGTTGCCCAGTTTCATTAAAATTTGACAGAGGAAGTTTCAAAAAGAGGTTATCTATCATAATTATCTAATAGGGTTAAAGGCTTCAATGGTACACCCGTGGACAGAAAAAAAAAAGGACTAACAGTTTCATTGAATAGGAATACTATAATAATAATTGGAAGAAGAAAAAGTAATGTTAATCAAATAGGATGGTAGGATTTGGCTGAACCTTTAACATTTATCAAGACCAAGATTATATCCAATAATACACGTGAATTAGTTGGAAAGAGATAAACATGATTAGAAAATAAACTATTATATTATTTTCAGATGATTAGATATATACCATACACGTGAACCTGAAAAGATGTGATTAAATCTTTTCAAACTATAAGATAAATGTGATTATAACATAAACTATTATATTATATATCAAATACGTTTCTTTGGGTTGAAATAACTTGGGCTTAACGTATTCAAACATACATTTTCTTTAGCCCAACTAACATTATTTAATGCGAGCTACAAAATGAGCCCAATGTCAATATACTTTTGATCACTCTATAAAAAGTTAAATATTTGACCCATTTAAAATATAAGAATTTATTTGTATGAAATAAAATCAGAGAATTGAAAGTTTTAGTATTTTATTCGTGCGTAAGAGTACAATGACCCCAAATTTGCACATGGCTCAAATTTCTCGTTAATGGTCATAGTTTAATTTCAAATGGTCATTCGATTATAAATTGTTCACAGTTTATTTGCAGGTCACATATTTTCAAATTAGTGGGTCACATGTTTTTTAATGGTCACATATAAAAAAATTTGTAGGTCACAATTAATTCATCGATCATAGATTTCAAAATTTATGTCACACAGTCATATATTTCTAAATTAATTGGTCACAGATACTTTAACGATCACAAATTATATAATTTTTAGGTCACATATAATAAAATGGCTGGTCACAAATTAACCAACACCCCACTTCCACCTTTGATCATGATCGCTGTAAATTTTTAGTTGCTTTTCACGGTATAAAAAATAAAACTTTTCACTGATCCAGTTCTCTTTATTTATTCTGGTTCTTCTACAGATGATGTGAATGAATTTGAATCAAGAATTTAGCTCTCAGAAAAACGGCCAAAGTTATCTGCATGAGAATACCAATGGAGAGGAAATCCTCAAAGATTTAAGATAATGGAATCAACACTTATAAAGAGCGTCAAAGAGCCTTCATCTCAACTCTATTGGGAGAGTGAATTGTACTCTCAAACCCATAGAGAAAAGATTCATAAAGCCACTTCCAAGCAAATTATAAAAAATTCCTTTACTTAAATTCAGTAAGTTTTCTAATCCGCCAGCTCTCTTTGGTGTGGTTAAAGCAAATCAATCATCATCGAGCATAATTCCAATAACCGAAATATCTTAATTACAGAAAAAATTAAATAAATTAAAAAAATGAAGAATGTGAAACAATAAAACGCATGAATTCACTAATGTTAGAAAATCTGTGTGTCCATAAGTACCAGTGAACATATTTGATTTTGCATCTTTTCAAATTTCCTCTATTAAATTTCATTAAATCCTTCATTTTTGTTCAGTGGTAAACCTAATGGGCTGTGAATATGAGCTGGGCTTGGCTGGGCTACACTCACCACCGCACCGCACACCTCAACGCTGCGCCCGATATTCTCTTCCGATGGTGACGCCACCTTCACCGTTACCACCATTTTCAGATCCGCCACCTTCTACGCTGCCGAGAGAGAGAGATATGGGTGGGGGTGAGGAAGTTAACGTCACCACAACCACTCCAACGGACGAGGTCGCCTCAGCCGATCCTCCATCAAGTCGCCGGTGACGGAGAGGGAGAGAAGTGAATTTAGGGCTTGATTTGGGATGAAATTAAAATATATTTTGTGTGTGTATATATATATATATTTTTTTTTTGATTTTTGAAAATTAAAACTTGAAATCTGATTAATGAATTTGAATCTTGAAAAGAAGGGTTACATGTAATTACCACTTGATAAAAAGAAGT